GTTCCCTCCCGGTTGCCCCCAGCGCATTTTCGCTGGGGGCTGAATTTTTTTTTTTTGTCGGCGCGTATGTGTTCCCAAGGCCTCGTGGGGGCGGGCCCTGCCCGGCAATTTCAAAACCGGGTCCTGTAGGCCCGGATTTTTCAAGTACAGAAAGTGGCCAATCTTGGCCGCCGATCGTCGCAGATCAGCGGCAAAGATCGGCCAGCACCCCATTTCTATAAGAAAAACGGGCAGAGGATATCCGCCGCTGATCTATGCAGATCAGCAGCGGAGAACAGCCATGCGTTTTTCCTAAGATGTGGGTCGGGTAGGCCCCTAGTCCAATTTGTCATCTTGTGGTCCAATGGACCAGTTACCATTGGCAACATCTGATGCTCTTTCACCCTCAGCCACGAGGGGAACACTATGCTTCTGATGAGACTCTGCTGAGATTATATCCTTCTGCGACGTCCCTGCCATCTGTGGAAAAAGTTATGGGTTCGGACTTTGGAATTGTGATTTCAGAGCCGTCCGAGGTGCAATCCCAAGAATGGACCTAAAATATAGGGCGTTGCTGCACTACTCTCGACATGCACAAAAGACAAAAATCTTGGCGGTGTATCTTTACAAATTCTAGCGGAAGATTCACTCTCGTTTTGCACATTTCGAGAATAGTGCAGCGAGGCCCATATTCTTCTCTCTATCTATCTCGAATGGACCTTGCTCCACTACATGTATCTGGACAGACTGCCAGACAAGATACTTCCGAGGTGCAATCCCAAGAATGGACCTAAAATATAGGGCGTTGCTGCACTACTCTCGACATGCACAAAAAACAAAAATCTTGGCGCTGTATCTTTCCGAATTCTAGCGGAAGATTCACTCTCGTTTTGCACATTTCGTGAGTAGTGCAGCGAGGCCCATATTCTTCTCTCTATCTATCTCGAATGGACCTTGCTCCACTACATGTATCTGGACAGACTGCCAGACAAGATACTTTCGAGGTGCAATCCCAAGAATAGACCTAAAATATAGGACGTTGCTGCACTACTCTCGACATGCACAAAAGACAAAAATTTTGGCGGTGTATCTTTTCGAATTCTAGCGGAAGATTCACTCTCGTTTTGCACATTTCGAGAGTAGTGCAGGGAGGCCCATATTCTTCTTTCTTCTATCTCGAATGGACCTTGCTCCACTACATGTATCTGGACAGACCGGCAGACAAGATACTTCCGAGGTGCAATCCCAAGAATGGACCTAAAATATAGGGCGTTGCTGCACTACTCTCGACATCCACAAAAGACAAAAATCTTCGCGGTGTATCTTTCCGAATTCTAGCAGAAGATTCACTCTTGTTTTGCACATTTCGAGAGTAGTGCAGAGAGGCCCATATTCTTCTATCTATCTATCTCGAATGGACCTTGCTCCACTACATGTATCTGGACAGACTGCCAGACAAGATACTTCCGGACTGACAACTCACCTTTTGTAGGAACCAACAAACAGAAAACGCTCTGCCTACACGAGCAGAAAGCTGGAACCATAACTTTTCTGCTGTCGAAATATACTCTGGAATACCTATAATTTCGGGCAAGGACCTCCTTTCATCATACCTGGTTCAGCTCGTGGGGTATCAATATCAAATGACATACTCCACGAAGCGCTCCAGCAACGGGGGGGTCGGGTAAGTGAACTTGCTTACTTGACCCCTCCCTGAGGAAGCCGTAGTTGCCTGAACACATCAATGATAACCCCCTGCCCCCCTCTCGAAGCCCCGTGAAAAATGTTGTACCTTAAAAATTTTATTGCGGATTCGGACAGCTCTTGAAGAGCACAGTCGGAATCTGCCCAAGAAAAAAAAAAAAAAAAAAAGATATTTGGGCACTTTTTTTTCAAAACCGGTTTCCCGGTGCACCCCCCCTGGTCTGGTCCGGCTCCGGTTGGACCGGGGTAGCTCAACCGGCCGGTTGCCGGCCCAGCACTGCTCCAAACGGGAAAGAGACGACACTGTGCACACCCCAACCAAACAAAAAAAGGTACACAGCCCTATACAAAATCCTCAAGACAGAATACCTTTCTCTTCTCGGTCTTCAAGCTAAGTAAGATCAGCTGAAGTATCCATTCTGATGAGTTTAGTCTCTGATCCGTGGTCTGTGTGACAGACAGCAAAATCACGATGAATAGCATGTTGACCTCGAGACTACAGTCTTCCCCCGCACACAACGCACCTCCATTCTGAATGCATACAAGCTCTCTCTGTGCTCCCGTACAGCAGTCGTGAGGGTGTGATGCGTTCAGGGTAAGACTGTGGAGAAAAGGAACCGCATACCGCTGGCGCGCACGCAATTAATTAGTGTATCGTCCGCGGAGCCAAGTGGATGCATTCTCCCCAACGTGGAGGGAGGGTGTATAGTATACAATTAGGGGAAAAAAGGGCGCAATCCTCTGCGCATATGGCTACAAAAGCCATTGAATCATAGTAACTCTAGTCAAGATAACGATGGTCACAGCATGAAAGATTAGTATCGTCTTTGACGCAAAAGGCATCAGAGATTCGGAACAAAGCATTGACAGACTTTCGTCAGTTTCCTGCTCAACCAAGTGGCTACAGCCTACAGTCTTTACCCAAAGAGAACACCGAGCCATTTTCATCGTATCTAGACAGGATGTTGCCCCGAGTACGACTGTAATGACAGGGGGTGTTCTATTCAGGTGAAGACAGTAGGTGGGTGATCCACAATGAAAAATATCATGCAGTCATTCTTGATATACAAAACGATCAAATCTCATTCCATCAAATTACTTTGGTGGGATGCATGGTGTGAGTTTGTAACACTTGACACCATTGTCCCACAGTTCTGCGTAGTCGGAGGCATTGCATCTTCCTCCCCGCACAAAGCGTGCAGAGACGTTAGACTCTGTTGCTGAAAGACGAGCCTCATCACAAACAGAAGGACTCTAATGTCGACAGTCTGCCGGACATTATAATTCGCCCCTTCTTCTGTTTCTAGGTGGAAGTAGAGATCAGAATCCAGTTGCTGTGCGATCGCCGGGAATTCTGACGTCACTTACAGAAAGCAACGGTGAGCAGCTAAACAAACATGAAGAGCAGCATTCCAGTCCTTGAGGAGATCTCCAATGAAATTCCCGAGCCGGGGGGATGACTGCAGGCCCTGATCACACAACTATTGACGGTGCCCCGCTTGAAAAGCTTTTGAAGCTTCATGGCCGGATAGTCAGAGAAGAATTTGAATGTGGAGCAACTCGGAAGAACGAAAAGCTTTTCGACACTTATGGGGATTATCATGCTTCCAGGACAGGATCGTACAACAAGTTCTTAGAACGATCTTAAAACCTGATCAGACGCAAAGGGTCTCTGCTCGACAAAGAAAAAAAGACAAAGATGAAGATGAACGCCCATGAAGACAAAGACGAACGACCATGAACACGAAGACAAACACCGAACGCCGAACGCCGAACACCGAACGCCAAGCGAAAAAGATGAAGACCAAGACCAAGACGCAGACGGACACGAACACGAACACAAACATGAACACGAACACTGCCAAGACCAAGATGGACATGAACACGAACACGAACACAAATACGAACACAAACATGAACATGAACATGAACACGGAGAAATATACGGAGACGAAGGCGAAGAGACCACAAATGAGGACAAAAATCATGAACGTACAGTCAGGAAAAGCTGACAGTCACACTGCCAAAAAGTGACCCTGAGCAGAACACGAGCATATTCACATTGGCACTTTTCCTGGATGTACGGGACGATAACTACCGATACATTTTCATTGCAAAAAATAGCGGTGTATGGCCTACAGACAATGAAAGTGGGCCTTCAGGGAGCCGTTTCCTCCTCATTCCCATGAATACGTGAATAGCACGCAAAAAGGAGAGCATGCAGTCACACATGAACCACACATTCACTAACCAACATGACCATATCCCCCCCC